GTACAGCATCAAGCCCCCTTGACTACAGCGTCACCACCCCTTGCCTCTGCATCGTCACGAGCTGATGTGTGCCTGGCATGTTTGATGTCCAGTGTTCTTGATGTGCCTTGGTTTCCTTATGATGTGCATTCTGATGTTAGTATGAATCTGAATGTGCAATTTGCAGTTCATTTGCTCAAATGTCTGGTTTTGTGACCTTTTATCTACGCTTTGCTATGGCAATGCATCTCTTCATCCCTGGACTGCAAGCCTGGGGCTTACTGTGTGTAGCTGGCGAAAGTGTTCGTGCATGTATTGAATGTGAAATACAATCAATGAAATCACTATGTAAATATAATACACGTATGTAAACCATGGTCTCACCTATCTATCCAGTCATTCATCCATCCACCAATCAGTTTGCCTATCCATGTATTTGTGTGCTTGGGCCTTTTTGTCATTCCATTCAAACCTTTTTGGAAATTTAATTTCTGTCAAAAGGCTCATATTCACAAGCGGCCAAAAAAAACATAGTTGCTTGGATGGTTTCCTGGAAGTTGTTTGGATGGCTGAGGATGAACGTGCAATGATTCCATGGCCACGGTATGTGGAATACCTTCTCCGATCAGATTGTGGTGATTTGTAGTTGTTTTCCGTCATTAGAGATATTATATGATTGGCTTGAGCTGTGGGCCAATGTGTGTACAGCAGAACTTTTGCTCAGCACTTTTTATTTCTTGAGCACTGTCAGGATGGATGGAGGTCGTAAAGTGAGATCTGACCATGTGAGTGATCATCCAGCTGCGCAGTTGCCCGGAGCCAATTCATTGAATGTCGTGAGTGAACCTTGTGTCACTGGCATGAAAACAACTCTTAGAGACATATGGCAGCATTCATATGTTTCATTGTGCATTCTGCAGGGAGGCTTGGGATGAGATGCTGACGTGGGCATCTGAGAAGGTCGCGCAGGTGCGTGCAGATCAGCCTCACTTGCGGAATGACCTGCAAGCCTTGGTGGAGCGATTGAATGGTGAGGCAAGGGCTCCAAGCTTAGCCATAAATGCAATATGTTATGTGAGCATCAAATCAGCTAATTGTTGTGATGTGGCAGGAAGTCTGGTCAAAGTTGATCATGACCCAACATGAGTTGTGGGTAGCCGTTCCTTCTATTTACTCCTTCAATGGTCAAAGCTGGCTCATCTTGGAAAGTTTCTTGGCATGATTCAATTTCGATGGATTGATTGAGAATCATATGAAAGGAAAGGCCTTGTGATTCAGGATGGATGTTGAAGTTATATACTTGTTTTTGGTGTCGACGCTGTTAAGGGGCCGTGTGCTGTCTTCATTTTTCTCTGCTTCTGTGTGCTTGTCGTCTTTGTTTTTGTTGGCTGGGTTTTGGGGGATGGGGGCGGTGGGGGGGGGCGATGTTAACGTTCATTGCGACTGCCACCACGAAGTACGTTCTCTTGCGCTTCCACACATGATACGCTGCTGCACATTCTCTTGCACTTGCACACATATGTCATGCTGCGCTGCTGCACTGCACTTCCACACATACGTCATGTTACGCTGCTGCACTGCACTTGCACACATACGTCATGCTACGCTGCTGCACTGCGCTTGCACACATACGTCATGCTACGCTGCTGCACTGCACTTCCACACATACATCATGCTTCGCTGCTGCACTGTACTTGCACACATACGTCATGCTACGCTGCTGCACTGCGCTTCCACACATACGTCATGCTACGCTGCTGCACTGCACTTGCACACATACGTCATGCTACGCTGCTGCACTGCACTTCCACATATACGTCATGCTTCGCTGCTGCACGGCACTCCACACATACGTCCTGCTACGCTGCTGCACGGCACTTGCACACATACGTCATGCTACGCTGCTGCACGGCACTTGCACACATACGTCATGCTACGCTGCTGCACGGCACTTGCACACATACGTCATGCTTCGCTGCTGCACTGCACTTCCACACATACTCATGCTACGCTGCTGCACTGCACTTCCACACATACGTCATGCTTCGCTGCTGCACTGCGCTTGCACACATACGTCATGCTACGCTGCTGCACGGCACTTGCACACATACGTCATGTTACGCTGCTGCACTGCACTTCCACACATACGTCATGCTACGCTGCTGCACTGCACTTGCACACATACGTCATGCTACGCTGCTGCACTGCACTTCCACATATACGTCATGCTTCGCTGCTGCACGGCACTCCACACATACGTCCTGCTACGCTGCTGCACGGCACTTGCACACATACGTCATGCTACGCTGCGGCACTGAAGATGTGAAGCTAGTTTCTAGTCAGTTCAGAAAGCAACGTTTGGCACTATGGATTGCTGGCCGCGGGCCTGATCCGTCCGTCACTGCTATGGTGTTTTGGCCCTGCGAGAGGGTCCTTTGACCGGAGCTGTGCAGGACGAAAGCCAGCTGCAAGAGGACGCGAGCAAGTTAGCAAGTTGGCAGCTGGCAGTGCAGGAGAGCAAGCAAATTGAAAGTTCGAAGCTAGTTTCTAGTCAGTTCAGAATGCAACGTTTGGCAGTATGGGCTGCCGGCCGCGGGGCCGGATCCGCCCTTCATTGCCATTGTGTTGGGGCCCTGCGGGAGGGTCCTTTGACCGGAGCTGTGCAGGACGACAGCCAGCTGCAAGAGGACGCAAGCAAGTTGGAAGCTAGCAGTGTTATTAATGCAGCAGTGCCGTCACGGTCCAGCTTTCCCGGCGGGCATGTGCGTCCGGCATTGTTTCTGTGCTTGGCTTTGATTCGGCCCCCTGCCTTCTGAGTGAACAATTGTTCCGCAGGTTGGGCATGCGTGCTTGTGAATGCGGCCGGCGACATTGCCGCCAACGACATGGAACTTTCCCCCGCACGCAAACACATGATCAATTTGCCCAGTTTCGACAGTGCTGTTCGCATGTTGCTGGCAGAATGGACATTGGTATCGGTGCATCTGTTTGCCGTTCTTCGTTTTCACGGCCCGGCTGTGGCGGGCACGGTTCTTCCTGGCTGGCGGCGTCTGTGATGGCAGCATCAGGGCGCACGCAGCCTGTTGCGCAATCTGGCAGTCGCTGTTTTGCAGCTTTGCATGTCTTGGTTGAACGCATTCGTGATTTTCTGTTCGGTGCTAGCTAGAATTTCTTGGCGCACTTCGTCTATATGATGGGGGAGAGCTTTTTGGACGGAATCCGGGTCGCTCATAAGCGTCTCCAAGAGCATTCCCCTGTTTTGAAGGTACCTAAAGTCGGAAAAAAGGGCCGTTTTGACACACTTTTCGGATGATTTTTAGCTTTTCGAAAGTGCCAAAATGCTATAAATTACATCATTTGTGCGTTTTAACGCAGAAAATACTATAAATCCGCCCACACCGCTTTGGCGGTGAAGGCGTGCTTATTGGGGGGCAAAACAGCAACACTAAATGCTCAATGACATTTGTTAATATAGCAGTCGCTATATCAGCTTTAGCTGGGGGGGGGCAAAAACGGTTTCGCACCGAGACCAGAATACGGTGGTGTTTTCGACATTTTTCGAGGATTTTTGGGTGTCTGAGCGCAAGAGGGTATTGAAATGGAATTTTGGGTCATTTTTCATGAATTTTGGTAGCTTTCCGGCAATGGAAAAACGGCCAAAAATGAAAAAAACATTGTACATAGCAAGATTTTGCAGGGTTTTTGGATGCCAGAGCATTGAAAACACTGCAAAAACAAGTGTTTTGGACTGACGTTATAGCAAAAAACGTGTAAATTACCGTATGCTGGACTGGAAACATTACAAAAACACTGTCAAAAGCAATGTTTTGGAAGGATTTACTGCCTTTATGGCAAAAAACGTGTAAATTACCGTCTGTTTGACTGGAAACATTGGAAAAACACTGTCAAAAACAATGTTTTGGAAGGATTTCTTATATATAAATAACTTCCATTAGACATGGCATTTAAATTATATCATATAATATATTTGGAGTTGGCTACCGGCATTGGCACATGGAAAAATTGAAGAAAACACTCTAAATAGCGGTATTTTCAACGGTTGGGGAGATAAGGGAATTGGAAGCATTGTCGAACATGATGTTTTCGACCGGTTTTATGGCGACAAAAGTGTAAAGTACCGTGCTTTGAAGGAAACCATTGCAAAAACATGGAAACACATTCAAAGAACACGGGATTTGGGGGACTATCTAGGCGTCGTTGTCTAGCTATTTGAAATTCCTCAGCTTGGCGAGCCTCCAAGGGAGGGAAAAGTGAAAATTCCATAGCTTGGGAAGCTGTAACTTGGGGAGCCCCCACGGGGGGGGAAAGTGAAAATTCTTAGCTTGGGGAGCCCCCACGGGGGAAAACCACCCTTAGCCCCTCTCACGGACCGGAATAAACCTGCGGTGTGGGCGGCCACCCCACGCGAAGCGGGGTGAATATCTATAAATGCCAATACTTTTTAGACCCGAGATGCACAAAACACTGCAAATACCAGTGTTTTTGAAAGCAAAGGAAAAACATTGTAAATTACAGCATTTTTGGCGGGTTAATGTCAAGAAAACGTGGAAGGCACGAAACACTGTAAATAGCAGGGCCACTTTTGAACGCTGAAACGCTGGTATTTACGCAGTTTTTTGCCCGTTACAGTACCAAACCCCTGTAAAGCCTTCCTGGTGAGCCATTGCCATCGATAGATGAAATGAGCCATGATACTGTTGCTGTTGACAGCCACGGCAAGAAAGGAGAAAAGGATAAGTACAGGGGAAAACGCGCATGCAAAGAAACTGGACAAAAGCATGCGTTTGCGTGAAAGAAAGGTGGACAAACATCACCTGGAATACAAGGGAAAAACCTCGTTGAGACCCCTGCCGCTGTCCATTGGAGAGCGTGGAAAAAAGAAAGCCAGCAATCCATAAGGCAGGGATCAAAACAAGGATAATCCAGCGGTGAGCAGTCACGAAGACTCAGAAGGGCGTCTCGAAGGCCGCAGGTGTTTGTGGACATGAAGCGGAACGAAACTAGCGTCCAGGATCAGCAGCCAGAAGCAAGGCAGCAGCCGGTCTGGCAATGTCAATGTCCCCAGAGCTGGCGAGTTCGGCCCGGCGACGCAAAACTGCCCGACCGCGGAAGCGGCGGGCAGTGATGCAAAGCTCTTGTAGAAGCTGCGCCTGGCAGGCAGTAGCATCTTCTCCTTCCCTGGCTGCCGTTGCACGGGCCAGGAGCCGGAGGTTGTGTGAAGCCGAGGTTGACCAAGCTCCGGTGCTTTCAACAACCAGTGGTTGAAATCTTCTCACAGAGCTGGGCTGTGCGAAGGTGGGCTGCTTTGACTTCTGCATAAGAATCCGCTGCGGCCCCGGTCTTGCAGCTAGCCTCACGTAAACTCTCCGACCGCTGAGGGGCTGTGACAGCTATATCAAATGCGGTTGGAATGCCAGCGAGGCTAGGAACGAAGACATCGGCGGGCCGGCGCCGCCCAAGGCCGGTTTCTTCTGGGCGCTGGGGAAGGAGCAAACCAGGCTTCTCCCGTTCTGGCTCTCAGCCCACTTGTAGATAGTGTCACGGAGAGCATGGTGCCGCAACGTACGTTCCCCACCTGCCGAACAAGTACCAGCATGGAGGGAAAAGCAGTCCAGAATGCCATTGCACTGGGGGCACCACGCATCGTCACCAGCGTCAGGGATGCCAAGGCGATGGCGCCGTGACAAAAACAGCTGGCTCCAGGCAGAGCTGGCCATGCAGGCGAGCAGCCAGGAACGCCCGTGCCCCAGGAGCAGCTTCGGAGAGGAGGAGGGCCCTTCCAGTCAGAGAAGAAGCCGAAAGTTGGGCTTCCCAGCCAACAGCATCCAGTACTTTGGTGAGTTGCTTCTGTTGTTGGCCCAAGCTTGTGAGCAAAGTGGCTTGCTGAGCAGCTGGAAGGTGACCATTGTAGAGGTGTAAAGCAGCTGCTGCATGTGATGATGCCAGGGTTTCCGCGTTCGAGAAGCTGGGAGCAAGCTGGCCACATAAGGTGCGGCTTTTGCCAAGAGAGGCTAAGTAGGCGGCTGGCCCATCCAAGTGGGTAGAGCGCAGCCCCAGCCCAGCCTGGTCAAATCCCCGAGCAGCTTGCTGCCATTGTGCATCTGTGGGGTGCAGGCCCGTCAAGCTGCTAAAGCAAGCACGTACTCCTTGGTCAAAAGCCTTGAAGCTGTCAAGCTGGGCAGCCGGCGGCGTGCACCGCATGCTGTGGACCAGTCGGCAATGGCCGCCACTGGAGCGAAGCAAGCGGAGGCCGAGCTGCGGGTCATCCAGGCCACTGATGGCATCGAGGAGTTGGGACGCCGCTTTCCCGCTCTGCTGTGTGCGCAGCGACAAAAGCATCCTCACCCACTGCAGCCCCGAGAAGTTCGAAGTTGGTCTGGACCCGGCTCTGGCCCTGGCTATTTGCGAGCAAAGCCGGCGGAAGGTGAGCCGCAAGGGCTGGGTGGCTAGTCGCACCGAGGCTGATGACTTCAGACTTGTCCAAGTTGAGATGCAGCCCAAGATTCGCTGACTGAGCTTGGATGTGAGCTAAGGCAGCGCCGACAGCCGCAGCATCACCAGCTACCACGCCATCATCGAGGTAGAAGAAAGCCATGTCCAGCGGCCCCTGCCGGAGTTCGAGCGCCAGGGAATGCAAAGCGCCGGCGAAAAGCAGTGGCCCCAAAGGGTCGCCTTGCTGGACCCCACCTGCGGAAAGCAGGTGTGCACTTCCAAAAGAGCAGGAAAGCGAGCAGCCGCAGCGTCCAGCACAGCCTGCCGAGACACCAAGTTGAAGGCATTCTTGAAGTCCAGTTTCACCAGCACTTTGCCTGGTTGCCCTTTGTTGCGGTCGTACCAAGCTCTAGCGGTGTGGACCGCCGCTTCGGCTCCGCCGGGAATCGCAGCCCCAAGCTGCACAGGAGCAAAGTGTTGCCGCGCATCATCGCGCACAGCTTCCATCAAACACTTTGCAGTCAAGCGCCGCAAGATTTCGCCAACAGCAATGGGCCGGACGCCGCCAGTGGGCTTGGGGAGGGCAACCAGGCTGGCACCAGCTAAACTAGGCGCAACGGCAGGGCAAGCTTGGCCTTGCGCCAACAGGCTCACCACCCCACAAAGTTGCTGCAGCAAAGCTTCGGTGGAGCCAGCCGCACACGCTTCCCGAAGATGCTGAACACGAAGGCCAGAAGGGCCGGCAGCAGTGTCGGACGGGAAGCTTCTCAAAGCCCGTGCAATCGCCTCAGGCACCAAGACCGCGGCCAGGGGTTGAGCTGCCACGTCAGGAGTGGTGGGCGGAGGTTGTGCTGGATGAAGGGCTTGAAGTGCCTGCGCCGTTTCAGCAGTCTGAGGACAAAGACCCTGTGAAAGCAGGGCGTTGCAAGCTTTCCGGTCGAACCCTTCCCGAGTCAGGGATGTGGCCAAGGTCCGCCGTTCCTCTGCAGTCAATGGTTTGTTGCGCCCGGAGCCGGGGAGTTGCCCACGCGAGTTCCACAGGCTGTGCCTTTCGCCCTGCTGCCACTGGTGGAGGCGGTCCAAGGTATAGGCAGCGCTGGCTTTGGCATGCTTGCGGCCGCCACGGGCTGGGACGCCGAGGACACAGCGAGGCAGCATCAGGAGTTTCTTCCAGTGGTGCACGACGGCGGCAAGGGCTCGTGCCAGGGTCTGGCTCCACAAGTGGCGGGCACTGCGCGGCACATGGCGGAGAGTTGGCGTGGCGCCTTGCTGAATTTCCCGGAAAGTGGGTAGCTGATGGCGGCCCGGAGTGAGGGGTGACAAGTCGGGTGGACCCCGTGTCGGACTGACACGCTGAGGCCACAAACCAGACAGCGAGTGCGGCCTTGGGCCTGGAGCCAGTCAAGGGGGACTTCACCTTGTATATAGGGAGCCAGCCAAGTGCGCATCGATGTGGTGGCGCATGCTGACATGGTTGGCCCACCCACGCGCCTGGCTGGAGTCTGCATGGGGGCAGCCAGCAACGGGGCAGAAGACACGAGACAGAGCTGGCTGACCCCCCATCTACTTCCATTGCGAGTGAATCAGGATCAGAGCCAGGGTTGGGTGGGATGCCTCCCCCACCCGGACGCCGGCAAAGCCGCATCGACGCTGCAGGCGCCGGTCCCAGGTGACCCGCTGCTTTGGGTGAAGGTGTCTGCTAGCCCTGCACGGAAAGCAGGGGTACGACGGGCGACGCCAGAGCCCAAAGCCAAGAAGAGCCGGTGCCGGAGAGGCCCAAGTCTGGTTGAGCGCGTGGGTGAGGCGCCGACACTCGTGGCGACCCAAGGTGGGAAGCCCAGCTGAAGGAGTTCCGCGACAACGACAGGATGTGGAATGACCAAAGTTCAGTGCCATGGGATTCAGGGCAGAAGCAAGGACAACGAAGCCGAGCCAGCCGGGAGAAGGAGCCATGGCCCGTCAGCAGGAGTGGGGGACAATGAAGCAAGGAGGACCAGCCAACTCCGACCCAATAATGCGGAGAGGGGCAGCCCCCCGCCGCCTGACGTGGAGGAGCCGGGCAAGAGAAGGCCAACCCCCCAAGCGACAAAGCCCCCCCCACCACTGGTGCACTCTATGCGGCAAAACAACTAACCAGAACCCATAGTAAATTACAGCATTTGTTGAACCGATTTTTGGCCTTGATGTGCCTTGATGAATGCAAAAAAAAACGCTGGTTTTTTTACCCCTTTTTTAAAAAAGATCGAAGCTCGTGACGTGAGCGAAACCATGTAAATAACAGTGTGTTATCCACTTTCGGGGCCTAAAACTGTGGTTTTTACACGGGTTCTTGCCATCTGACAGCGCAAAATGCTGTAATTTACAGCACTTTGTGCGCTGTTTATGTTCAATTTTTAAGCAAGCGATGCTTTCACATGTTCTTCGCATTCTTCAACAAGAAACGACGTTACAGATTGAAACTAGAAGACAGTGTGGCCTGAAAGAAAGCTGGAGGAAGGAGACGAGAAGATAGCACACAAGAAAATATGATGATGAATGCTGCTGGTGAGGAGCTTTTACACAGACGCGTTTACACACAGAAGCGTTTATGCACAGAAGCTTCTACACAGAGAAGTCCTTGTACAGACTGGCTTTTACACATAGAAGTTTTTACAGAGAGAAGTCTTTACACAGAGGAGCTTTTACGCACAGAAACTTTTACACAGAGAAGTCTTTACACAAAGAGCTTTTACACACGGAAGCTTTTCCACAAAGAAGCTTTTACACAGAGAAGCCTTTACACAGAAGCTTTTACTCACAGAAGCTGTTACACACAGACGCTGTTACACAAAGAAGTCTTTACACAGAGAGCTTTAACACACAGGCGCGTTTACAGACAGAAACTTTTACACAAAGAAATCTTCACAGAGAGAGCTTTTATACATGGAAGCTTTCACACACAGAAGTTTTTACACAGAGAAGTCTTTACACAGCGAAGCTTTTACACACGGAAGCTTTTCCACAAAGAATCTTTTACACAGAGAAGCCTTTACACAGAGGAGCTTTTACACACAAGGGCGTTTACACACAGAAGGTGTTACACACAGACGCTGTTTCATTCACTTGTTCTTGGCATTCTTCAACAAGAAACGACGTTACAGATTGAAACTAGACGAAAGTGTGGCCCGAAAGAAAGCTAGAGGGAGGAGACGAGAAGATAGCACACAAGAAAATATGATGATAAATGATAAATGCTGCTGGTGAGCAACGCGTTTGCACAAAGAAGCTTTTACGCACCGAAGCTTTTACACACACAGGGGCTTTTACACAGAGAACTTTTTACACAGAGCGGCTCTTAGACACAGAAGCTTTTACACACAGAGGCTTTTACACAGAGATGTCTTTACACTAAGGAGATTTTGCACACAAACGCGTTTACACAGAGGAGCTTTTACACACAGAAGCTTTTACACAGAGAAGTGATTACACAAAGAGCTTTTACACACAGACGCGTTTGCACACAGAAGCGTTTACACAGAGAAGCCTTTACACAGAGGAGCTTTTTCACACAAGGGCGTTTACACACAGAAGCTGTTACACACAGACGCTGTTACACAAAGAAGTCTTTACAGAGAGAGCTTTAACACACAGGCGCGTTTACACACAGATACTTTCCCACAGAGAAATCTTTACACAGAGAGCTTTTACACACGGAAGCTTTCGCACACAGAAGTTTTTACACAGAGAAGCCTTTACACAGAGAAGTTTTTAAACAGGTACGTTTACACACAGAAGTTTTACACAGAGAAGCCTTTACACAGAGAAGCTTTTACACAGGTGCGTTTACACACAGAAGTTTTTGCACAGAGAAATCTTTACACAGAAGCTTTCACACGCAGAAGCTTTGACATACAAAAGCTTTTACACAGAGAAGTCTTTACACGGAGAAGTTGTTACACACAGAAGCTTTTACACACAGAAGCTTTTACACAAAGAAGTCTTTACACAGAGGCGCTTTTACACAAAGTGGAAAGGTGAAGTTGGCAGCAATTCTTTAGGAAAAAACCTTCGCAGGAGCTTTCGGGAACAAGCCTTCCCCACTTGCTCCAAGAAAAAACCGCAGTTCCATGATTTCATGAATATGTTCAAAAAAGCATAAGGAATATATTTCTGAAGCAGCAGGTCCTCAGTCAATAGCTTTCAAGCCCACCCTGCGATGACATCGCGGGTCAAGTAATCCGGCGGAGCCGACGATGAGCGTCAGCTCTAAAATAAAGTAGTTACATAGAATTCAGGTAGCGTAGGCTACCTTTTGTGAAAAGGATGACACGTGATTGCAATTCATGGAACTTTTGTCTTTGTTGGAATTATTCTTGTCATCGAATATCTGATTCCAGTTGAAGATTTGCGGTGAGAAATGTCCCTTTTGCAAACATAAAATGTCCTTGTTTGCTGTTAATCCTAAAGTTTACATATTGATTTTAAGCCGTACTTGTGTGCACAGGTAACTCTTGAATTATTTTCATCGTTTTGTTTATTCTGTCAGAAAACAGATTCCTTTATTGCGGGGAGCAGGGCAATACAACGAGTGCACTGAAGAAACTGACACAGTTTCAGGACAGTGGCTCCCTGGGCCATTTTTGGTGAGTTTTAAGCAAGCCGAGCTCAAGAGGCTCAGAGACTCTGCCGCAAACGAAGAACCACATTCGTCGATCTGTCCATCTCCGCCCGCAATATGAGAAACAACGCAGGGCAAGAATAACCACACAAGAAAAGGGTCTCACCAACAAGCCGCCGGCACGATACACCTGACTCCAACACATACACCATCCAAACCAACTGTTTCCCGCAGCCACTCAAGACAAGAAGCCCAACAGATCACACAAACTTTTGACAATTCCCCAGGATCATGCAGATGGGGCGTGAGAAGACTGAAACGTAGCGAAGAATCAGCGACTTCTTAGTACTAAAGTACGTGGAATTGAGGTAGCCTAGGCCCAGGCTACCTTTCATGATAAAGATATATAAAGAAGATGACAAATGATTGCAAATCATGCAGATAACATTTTTTCTTGGAATGATTTTTATATTTTTTTATCATCGAATTGTTTATGGCAGTTCTCTGTCCAAACTTACGGTGATTCCACCGGCTTCGCTTCCACGGAGCGGCCTGCAGCTGCCAAGCAGAGGCCACCGCCGGGGGTGCAAGTGCTCGACTGGGCAACAGAGGCAACAGAGGCAACATTCAGTTGGACCATGGACCCGACATCGCTGTCCTAAACAGACGGTGGACATCACTGGGCCCATGACATGACTGCAGCACCCTGACCTATGGAAAAAAAACATCTAAGGTTGTTGTTGGCGTTTTGAAACTCAATCCATGGGACACAAAAAGAAACGCTTAATGTTTTCAGGACTCTAATTTGTCAATGAATTTGCATTGCGAATGGTGGGTTCCATTGTGGTTCCCCATGCCAAGTAACATGCAAGAACCATGATTCAGCCATGGACTTATCAATTCTACGAGAATTACAAAAGCACATCTTCCTCCGTACCCCTTTATCCACGCCCCGCGTTGTGGATCATCCGGGTCCTGGGAGACCACGAGCGACCACAAATTTGTTGAGAAAAGAACCGCAAAGGCCGCCATGAAACGCGACCGTGAGGAGAGTTCGAAAGAACCATTGCCGTGAAGAGATTCAGTAATAAATGGTTTCTGCGCGGCAGCGTGCGATTGAGGTCAAACCATGGAGCACAACCGCACAGATCCAAAGTCATGAGTCACATTTGCCGACCAAAATCACAGACGGATTTTAATCCAAAATGAACATCAATGAACTTGTCAACTTGGACATCCCAGGCATCGCAGGGGAATACCCAGCCAGTTAGATTCGTGGGCGCTACCGTATCTCGGGCGCCCCGGCGGCTTGTGGTATTTCTCTGTGAGCTCGAACCTGTTCAGTGCAAGGTTATGCCAAGCACAAACCGACAAAGGTTTTCTGGAGATTCATCAGCATGTTTTGAAAACAATTACACCCGGGTCAAACTTGATATGTGGTTGTTATAAATCTTTGTGCTCGAAATGAAAATCATCGATAGGGCATTTCCAATGCCACATTAGATTACAGAAGGGTAGCAAACATCCCCACAGGCACCTTTTGCCGTTTTTGTGGGCACACACTCCACCAGTTTTTCGACATACCATTTCTATTTGCGACGACTTGTCTTTGTTCAAACCTGTTGTGAGGAAATGAAATAAGAAAAAATCATTTGTGGGGGTTGGCCATAACGAGCCAGAAATTGATGAATTAATTGGGTTGAAGCACAATTTTGGTGGCCCCCAACAGTTTCTTCAAGCAAAAACTCACTACAGCATCTACTTGAAACTACAAAAGACTGTACTCCCCTCTCC